CGGACAATGCACCAAGTAGGTAACAAAGGTTGTTTTAAAAAATCTTAAACGACAAGCTATTGCCATATACGTACATGTAAATGTATAAATTAATAAAGAAAAAAGTTATAAAATAATTGAACAGGAATTTCAATAGTCTTTGAAAGTCGACATTTACAAATTCTAAATGTGAAACAATGATGACTTTATCACCAAATACATTGTATGAATCCTCTTCCCCGCAGCCACTCATTTCAACACATATACCGTTTCCCCGCAATCACGCATTTTTCACGCACTTTAAAAAGTTCAATTAATCTTTAATTTAAGGCCAATTTCCTTCTATTTTATACTTGCTAAATTTTCATAAAAGAAGAAAAGTTATTTTTTTTAATTTAAAGATAGGTCATAATATCATTTACGCAAAGTTTAACAGAAATTGAACCGCGCTATAAAGTGCTTGCTGGGAAAAGGTAATGTCATATTTCTGTGACTTGAGCATTAAGTGTATGTTGCATAACATTTCAGTAAGTTGTAAAGAGTTGAGTCAAAATACGACCAATGTTTTCAATCAAATTGTTTTGCCCTTCTTTACTAACAGTCTGCCTGTCTGTCTCTCTATTTCTCCCCAACCTCCTGAATCGAATCCTTGTCACCTAACGTTATGGAGCTTTTGCATTATCCATTTAATTTCTCTTTGCAGGTCCAGGTAATTGGTATCATCGATTTGCAGGATTTTATCTTTACGTTTCCAATACAACGTCACGAAAAGCCGGTCATCTTTGTTTTCATGAGATACAAGCATTGGATCGCACACCAACAGAGGACCAGAGGATCAACTGTTCAATACACGGAAGATACGTCATATACTACAACGAAAGGAGACCGGATGTGTCTTATCCTAGTTATTATTCCAGATATGCATTTAATGAACTTTGTGAATTAGAGGTTTACGGTAGGTTTAACAATTAAACATTAGGAAAAAATACTGGGTACGAATTACTAAGTATTTATTCACAAAAGTCTGAGGCTAAAGGAATATTTTTTAAACAGGTTGCTTGAACTCTACATATTATGGAGAAACTTGTAACAAATCATGTCCTGTTAACTGTCTGGAGGCTAAGTGTGACGTCTTTACAGGGGACTGTCTAGGATGTGTGCCAGGGTATCAAGGTCCTCGCTGCAGTCAGGGTATTTATTTCCTCTTTCATTTTCCAAAGAAGAGGGCGTTTTATCCTCGTGTGTCGGTCCTCATGTCCGTATGATATATAAATTTTAAGTCACTTTTTTTCGCACAGATTTATTTATTGACAAATAATGAAAGGCTATTAAGGGGGCCGACTATAGTTTCGATTGCGCAATATTTCGCGCATCATAGTAAAATGAAGCGTATTTACGGTTTTAATGCATCTTTTTCTGCTTAATTATTAAAATTAAACAAAATTAAGAAAATATAGGTATAAAAATGTAATTACAATTTGATATAACTGATTTTTTAACCGATTTTGCAATTGATAGGTAAGTTGACGTCGTTGCAGTGTGTTTTTGACGTTATGATAATCTGTAGCTCTTAAAGAAAAGGGTAATAAAAATATAATTAAAGAAAAAGTAATAGACATAGGCTCTTGAAATTTAAAACACAGAAATGTGAGAATATCTCCAATATTTTTATTATATTTTCATGTGAATCCATTGTGTGCGTCATATTTTGTAATACTCTATATAAATAGTAAAATTTGCTAATTTTTTTCATTTTGAGATGCACCCTCTGGTAACAAGACGGTAGAATTTTGTGTTTCTTACATATATTGTATGATATAGTATTACTCATTAAATATTATAGTTTGAACAAAATGTCTATTGTAGTAATTGTATAATTTGCTTTTAAGTGCTAAAAATTGGCATTTTCCTGTATAATCCTATAGTAAATATACCTGTATTTTGAGACGGTCCCTCAAAAATACCTGGACGGTAGATTTCCCCCAAACTTTGCATGTACACTGAAGTTAATGTAAGTTATATATGGTATAAAAATGAAGAGTTTCGATATTGTAGTTTTCACACAATAAAACTGTAGTCGGTCCCCTTAAGTCTAAATAAAAGTCTTGTTCAACAAATTTGGGCGTACATGTAATTGAGTTATTCAAATGACATAACGTAATAAAATAATGAACATTGAAGACAAACGTTTGAAAAAAAACCTTTCCTATTTCAAGAAATTTCGTTCATTTTGTAGTATACTAGTATTTGGGGGTTGTTTTTATTCTCTAATTAACATTCGACTTGGGAGCCCACGGATTTCCCTCTTTTCAAGCGTTCCCAATCTGGGTGCATGCTTGACTTCGCGAGTCGCCTGGTTTTCTAAGATAACCAATCCATTGTTCCTATATAATGTATTATTTTACTTAATATGATTTTGCTAATCAGTTTAATCTTTTTTTTAGTTTTTATTTAAATTTAAACAGTATCGAAGAAATATGTTTATATTAAGATAGAGTAGTAAAACATTTAAGTAAGTATTGACATTCCGTAAAATTGCTCTTGGAAGCTGGCCTTTAAGTAAAAGGAATATGTGTCGTAACTTACCCTATGTAAATCGACTGTATATTAATTTTGCTTTATATCCGTTACTACTTATGTTGTATCTTATTAAATGTTATTTTAGTTTGTAATCAACTTTACTATGGACAAGACTGCTCTTCCTCTTGTGGTTACTGTAGTAACGGGGAAACCTGTCACCATGTAAACGGGACGTGCCTCAATGGATGTAATGAGGGAGTGGAAGGGGATAATTGCCAGAATGGTTGGCCTCTTTTTAAACTTTATATTAAAACGTACTTGTACAAAACCAAATCTTGTAAGCAAAATTTTACGTATATTATATTATGTATATTTTATGATGTATATATGTACTTGCATGTTGCTTATCTATTTCAGGACATTTTTTTAAAAAAAATATTGATATACAAAGATGTTTAGTGGAACTATGCGGAAATATTCTCTGACTTAGTTCAATACTTAAAAGTTTGTGATTTTTTTTATCAGCTTGCCAAGCAGGATATTACGGACGTGATTGTAGACATGTTTGCAGTGAGAACTGCGGAGTAACCAATCAATGTAATAGATTTACAGGAAAGTGTGATGGAGGCTGCAAAAAGGGATGGAAGGGAATTCGATGTGAACAAAGTATGCGTTATTAAGGGCATTAGAGAATTAAAAGCCAATAAAAAGGCTTTTATATGATAAAATATTACATTTCATATTTATGTTCCCCAAACGAAGTTGGGGAACATATTGTTTTTACTCTGTTTCTTCTTCTTCTTCTTCTTCTTCTTCTTCTTCTTCCTGGGTACTTTTTTGTCCGGGAGTGATCTTGTAAACTACTCATCCGATGTAGGTAAAACCTTTTTAGGGTCAGTAGGCATGTTATGTAGATTTGCGGAACGAAGGTCATTTTGCGCGCACGTGCTTGCAAGAGCGTGCACGTGCAACACGTGATATGACCAATTTAATTGATATACGCGTATCTTTTTACATTTTTGATGAAATGCTTTGAAACTCATAATATAAGGATATATTAGTAGCGTAGACAATATGACATGGTCAAAATAGCAAGATCTCATGCGCTTCGCTCTGATTGGCTGAAACTAAAGCCGCATAATCTTTCTTGTTTTTTGACAAAATCCTTTGAAATTTTGAACATAGCCATGCATTAGGGTATCCTACAATATGATATATAGTAATTATCATGAAAACACGTGCATGCACGTGCGCTGCAATCTGATTGGCTAAAACTTTAAATAGCTATCTCCCTTGGTTTTCAACCAAACAGGATGATGTTTGGAACATAGATAGATATAATGGACTTCTACAAGAAGGTATGGTCACCATGCACATGCAAACACGTGCATGTACGTGCGCTGCAATCTGATTGGCTTAAACTTTAAACAGCTATAACTACCTTGGTTTTCAACCAAAGGGGGTGGGATTTGGAACATAAGTAGATGTAATGGACTTCTACAAGAAGGTATGGTCACCATGCTCATGTATGCACGTGCGTGCACGTGAAATGAGTAAAATCAAAAATACACTTGAATGAGCGTATTTTTAATACTTTTGGATTAAATACTTTAATATTTAGTATATTAAAATATATAGATTGTGTAGACAAGATGATATGGTCATGCATGCATTCACATGCGCAAGCGTGCAATGATAAAATTTGAATGAACTTGGTACACTTCTGGTTAAACGTTGTTAAAGTCTCAAATGTATAGAGTTTGTCTTATTTAATGAAGCTTACAGGGAATATGGCACCAAAAGGGAGTTGGGGAGCGTTTGGGGGACATCTGTAACGGTCCCCGTTACAATTAGCACTAGTTTAAATTTTTTTTAATTTATAAATTTTTAGAGATTCACAATAAAAAAGTAAATATTTTCTTGACAAAACTATCAGTTATTGGTATAGTAACAGGCGCGTACAACATTTTTCTTGTTTTACAGTATATGTAGGTTGTCATATATTTGAAAGGGAGAGACAGATGAAAGTCAATTTATTTGTAGAATGTGACAGTGGAATGTTCGGTAATAACTGCAGTCAGAAATGTGGTCATTGTCTTAATGATACACAGTGTCATCACATCAATGGTTCCTGTTTAGAAGGGTGTGACCCGGGGTACGAGGGACAGCTCTGTTTAAATGGTTAGCTTACTAACAAAATGACTATCATCTATAGACTTGTAGTAGATTAATGCAAAAACATTTCTCTTTATTACCTAAAATTGAATTTTTTTTAAAAATGTGATTTTATGGTTAATCGTAAGTTAACAATACACCTTATTTACACTTATAATTTTGCACAAAAAACAACATTATATACTGGGTATTCAGAACATGGTCAATTAAATTACAAGCAAATTCACACAAGACTGAAACGAAAGAAAATGTTAATTTAAAAAAATTGAATGGCATAATATTTGGAGAGAATTCCATACGTAATAAATAGTTTAACATGACATATTTCCCAAAGAAACTGTACTTCACTAATATTTCTTCATTGATTTAGTGTGTCAAGAGGGATCATTCGGCAGAAATTGTGACAAAAATTGTAAAGTATTTTGTGGAGGCAACGAATCCTGTGACCCAATCACTGGTTTCTGTCACAGCGGGTGTAAGGATGGGTGGAACGGGCCTCTTTGTAGCCAAGGTAAGGAATATAATGATATATATCCACACCCGACCGATTCACATGACGTTCATAAACCCTCTGCTCACTTATGTATTTTATGAGTAAGGTTCAAACAATTCTAGTATAGCTTGCAGGGCAAAATTGGACAAAAAAGAAACTAAATTTTACAAATCTATAAAGAAATGAATGTGTAAAGTTAGCTACTGTCTAGTAACTGTCTACTAGTAGCTGGCTACGAAAAGTGGGTAAAGTTGGCTACTAGTAGAAAGCAAAATTAGCTACTAGTAACTGGCTACTAATAGCTGGCTACGACAAGTTATTAAAATTAACTACTAGTAACTGGCTACTAGTAAATGACTTGAACTTTCTAGAACCTTTTGTGTAAAATTATGCAAACTTGGGATACAAATGTTGATATTCTTGAAGTTGCTGGATTTTTACACCGCTGATATCCACTGATATTGTTGATAAAAACAATCATTGAGTTTTTCACATGATCTGGCACTAAAGTTACCAAGATATCCTTAGTAATAAACTCAGCTACTGGTACCTTTTGTGTAAAATTATGCTATTTTGGGAGACTAATCTTGATATTCTTGAAGTAGATGGATTTTTACATCGCTGATATCAACTGATATTGCTGATAAGAGCAACCTCTTAGTTTTCCACATGATGTGGTGCAGATGTCACCAAGATATCGTTAGTAAGAAACTCAGCTACTAGTACCTTTCGTGTAATATTAAGCAAACTTGGGACACAAATGTTGATATTCTTGTAGTAGCTGGATTTTACACCGCAGATATCCACTGATATTTTTGATGAAAACAATCTAGTAGCTTTTCCACATGATCTGGCACTAAAGTTACAAAGATATTTGTAGTATTAAACATAGCTACTAGTACCTTTCGTTTAAAATTATGCCCTTTTGGGAGAAAAATCATGATATTCTTGAAGTAGCAGGATTTTTACACCGCTGATATCCACTGATATTATTGATAAAAACAATATCTGAGCTTTTCCACATGATCTGGCACAGAAGTTACCGAGATATATGTACTAATATACTCAGCTACTAGTTCTTTTTGTGTGATATAATGCTGTTTTAGGAAACAAAAGTTTGCACCATTGAAGTAAAGAAAATTTTATATAGCTGATACATGTGTATCTTCTAATATCAGAGATAAAAAGAATATCTCAGGCTCTCCACATGATATGAAACTGAAGTTACCAAGATATCTGTACTTATTATTTAACTCAGCTACTAGTACTTTTCGTGTAACTTAATTAAATTGGAATATTTACTTCGCTGATATCTACTAATAATGCTGATTCTCCTAACTTCTCCAAGGATCTTACACTTGAATGACCTAGATATTTGAAGTTATATAATCAGCTGTCAGTTTGTTTTTTTTTTTTGGTGTGTGTAATAAAAAGCTAGCTTTAGATATAAATATCTACATCATTTAACAAACTTAATTATTGCAAGCAGATATTTACTTATATTGCTGATCTGAACATTCTCATACATGTAGCTTCTCCACTTCATTTTGCACCGAAGTCACCACGATATCTGCAGTTATATCTTTTGCTACTAGTGCATTTTGTGAAATATATTTTTTTTGTCGACATCTTTCAAGTAGCTGGGTATTTAGAAAGCAGATATCTACTGACACGGCTAATCAGAAATTTCTCTTCACATAACACATTACCGATGATTTATGTTTACGACTTACGTTTAGCTTTTGATATCTTTACAGATACTAATATATTTTTTGAGGCATTGATTCTTACTAAGCTGATATTTACTTGTATAGCTGATGAAGTATTCTGTCATTTTCTCCACATGACCTGGTCCTGAAATTTCAAGATATCTGTACTCATTAATTTTATTAGTACTTTTTGTAATACATGTTTAATTAAGTTTCGGATATAAATGTCGACTTCTTTGAAACATCTAGGTTCTTACATATTTGATATCTACTATTATTTCTGAAGTTAATATACAATTAGCTTCTCTTTATGAGAAAATATATATGGATATTTTACTTAAAAAAGACG